AGTAATTTGTTTACAATTTTCGTCATTGAAATGGGCGTGGCCCAAATTCAACGATTATTTAAAAATACGTTTTAAGGGCTTCTAAATACCCTAGAGGTTCAAGTAAGGTATTTTTAAAAAGGTTAAAATCTATACAATTTGAAAATGTAAAAATCTCAAATTGTCAAAAACATAAGATTTTAGCTTTCCAACACCCCTTAAAACAAGCGTTCTCGTTTAAGTGACTTAGTTAAAGTTAGTGAAAGTTAAGAATTCGAGTACGCGCGTGTATTTCTCGGATTTCCTATTTCGGTAGACCTTACTTGATCTTGAGCTTGATTATTAATTAATTGCATTATTAGTAATTTAATTTAATATAAAGGTAAATCCCTTTAAGTGACGTAACATAATAGTATTCTATGTTATCAGAGATTTTTTTGAGAAAAAATTATAGTAATAAATAAATATTATTATTATTCAAAATGGCTCTTAGTGGTTCTTTGCCTCAAATTAATCTTGGTGTTCAAGGTAAGACTCAGGGGGGTAACCACATATTATTGAGTTGAAAACATTGTAATTATATGGAGGGGGGGCGATGCAAATTCTGAATGAATATTGGATAATAAATTTTGAAAGTTTGAGAAGCACTTAGGAAGAGTGATTTGAAATGAAGCTAAATATTAATCGTAATTTATCTGTTGAACCATATTACCAACTGTGGTACTATTGGCTTCCAGTTTATTTTAAGAAATATCTTCCAAGTTTCCTTTGAGAACCAGTGGATGTTTATGGGAACAGTAACATTGGCCTGTGTATTACTTTTGGTTGTATAAGATCTATAATTATAGTTTTATTCTTTATAATTGATCCTCCCTAAAAAAAACTAAGGACAAATCGATCAATAAAATATCTATTTGATACATGTGTGTTTATAATTAGTAATGGTCTCTTTAACTACTTCAACATCAGGTACGAGACAAAATATTTCAAATACGGAATAGTTTTAGTCAGTTACGCAGAAATTTAGAGGCTTCGCCCAAAACGACAAAAAGTATGTAGATAATTTCAAAGTATACACAAATAGAAACATAGTTCAATTATGAGAATAAATGTATTTGTTTAATGCAAACGAATTTCTGGAATTCATTGCTCTCTTATTTCCTTTAAAAATTCATTTCAAATCTTTTGTTCATTCAATTTAAGTAAATTTCAAGAACTCACTGTTCCATCGAATCAAATAAATTTCTACAGCACACAGCTAGCTTGAATACTTATAATTTTTAACAATATATGCAGTGATTTAATATAATGTATAGTTTTTTGCGCTATAAAGAAGTTTCGAAGATGCATCAGCTGTTTACATGCAAGCAAATTCTACAACAATGTATTATATATAAACAGGATACAACTATATTCGAACTTTGCGCTTGTCAATATATATTTAAGCTAGTATTCTTCACTCAAAAAAATATAAGTGATTCGTGTTTATTGTATTGTACATTCATGAGATTATATGTCAATAACTGTGTGCTCATTCATTAACGTTTACAATTTTTCATGAATAGAATACTATACATAGACGTATTATCAGTAACAAATACAAATGTTTCTAAATTTTATGTAATAAATATACAAAGAAAAATTTTATATTAAAATCTGCACGCGCGCGTTTTTATTTAAATAACATAGAACTATTATCATAAGCTCAAGTACATTGACAAACATGAATAATATTCTACACATAACCCGTTATTTGACCACTTCGCTGGGTATTTCATGATATTGTAAGATTATGCATTATTTTTCTAGAAAAGTATTCTTAGAGAGTACCCTCGCATCTATATAGATTTATAAATAATATGGTTTGAATTTTTAAAACAGAAATATACTTATCATTTTCATCCCTGCTGCCTCCTCATATTTAATTTCCTTAAACATCATTTTTAACGGATCTCTATTTATTAATAAAAACACACTTGCCAAAATTTCAAGTCTGTAAGACACTCAAAATCCGGAATACTTTTTTTTCTCTAAAACACCCTCGTAACATCCCGCAAGCCCCCTTAGTGTCGATTTCTACAAAACCTGATCTTAGAAGATCTCTACTAAAAAGAAGAAATATGTTTGTAAAATTTAAAATGTGTTAGTTAAATAGTTTAAACGACTCCTGCGTTGGGTGTCAATTTCCACAAAACCCATTTTTGTAGATCTCTATTCAACTGAACAAACTCGTGAGTCAAATTTTAAGTTTTCAAGTCTAATAAGTCAGAAACAGAAGTATGTTTTATTTATAACTCTCTCGTAATCCTCCTGGGATTTGATTTTCGCAAATCCGTTCTTAATGGATCCCTGCTAAGCAAAAAGGAAATATACTTACCAATTTTCAAGTCAATAGGTCTACTGATTCAAAAACGGGTATGTTTGTCTAAAACACTCCTCAAAACCTTCTTGGAAGTCGATTTTCGAAAGGTCCGTTCTTACTGTATTTCTACTCATTAAAAGATGTATTCCATTTATTTTTCCAAACGGAAGATCTAATAGTTCCGGAGATTTTATAATGAGTGAGCGGTGATTGAAAGAATCACTTTTCTGATACACATATAGAGAGATAAACTGGAGTAGTCCTTCTTCTTTACTTATATATTTTTAAAATCAGATATCCACAATATAAGCATTACTTATCAACAATCCAATCTATCAAGCCTTACTTTTATCTTTTAGGGCTTCCAGCCCTAAGTAAGAAGTCATGTGCAAAAATATTATAATTTTAAAAAATGAGGAACCACATTTTAAAATGTTCCCCATGTTCTTAAAAATTTTTAAGCAAACTGCAAACCAGCATTCAACAAACGGATAAACTTAGACGATAATTCAACAGATATCTATTTTAGAGTTATTTTGAAAAGAAGTCATAATTCGGTAACAAATAAATAAATATGTTTTTTCCAACTAAGACATTACGGAGAAAGAATTGTTAGAAGTAAAGATAGACCGTGATGTCACATGACGTAACATGCACTTTAAGTAAGCATGGCTCTGACGTAATATGTGCCATAACTATGCGCAGCAGAAGGATAATTTCCCTAGCGAATAGAGCACAAAGCAAAAGAAGACGATAACTCGCTCACTGATTGGGTTGTTAAGAATTTCTTTAGGATATACTATTCGACTTTTTCCCCAGTCTAATTTTAAAAGAGCCAAAATATTTATTCGATATACTACATGAATACCTAGTCTTTTGAATCAACTTTTTCTGTAAAAAATTATTTAAAAATGAAAAGTTAAACACTGACGATATTCAACACTATTTTCAAAGACTAGCTAATACGTTAGAACGTCAGACACAAAATAACTTTTTTTTAAAGAACTATTATATATCTAGGGGGGTGCCAAAATCGTGTTCCTACAAAAACGCAAAATATACCGAAATAAATTACTTCAGTGTTGAATGAAAAATTCTGGAACAATATTCTTAAAAGTAAAAAGTTGCAGTTTCTAGGTGCACGCCATTATTATCCATATTTAAAAGGTACAAATTTCGACTATAGACGCACGCACAAAACAAAAAAAATTCTTCTTTTCATGTTGTTGGAAAATTTTGGTTTCTGTTTGCTTCTCAGACAAAGCCATAATACGACAGGAAAGAATACTCGTATGGACCACACATGGTTGTTGTTTCTATAATAATAAGCGAATGTAAACGATTTCGCAACAAATTAGGACGCAAAATGTCTCATCAAATATGACGACCAAATCTAAAAAAGCCTTGGTTGAATATTTGAAGAATAAGTTCCAGAAGATCTTAGAAATTTCTTCCTAACCTTTAAAATGTGATGTATACAACCAACCTTGGTTACAAACATCTGACAGTGACTGTGTGTTTCATTTGCCTTAATGCAAAATAGTGATTAGTGCGTTTTTAAATATTTGTGTGATTTTAGATTTAGCGCTATTGTTGATTTATATATATATGGATGTGAAAATTATTTCCTATATAAGAAGAAAATTAAACTGCAGTTAAGTGAGAGTTCTCGAACAAACTGCTTGCTAATTTGCATGGCCTATCCAAAACTTGAAAGATGGTTACTCAAGTATCACTATAGCTCTAATAATCTACACACAAGTGACAGGTAACATTAATTTGTTCAAATAAAACTAAGAACAGTTATTTTTTTATACTTTCAGCAACAATTATATCCAGCAAATGGATTCCTTTTAGCAATTTCAAAGCGTAACAAATTAGATTGCAAATAATTTATCGCGGTCGTTTATTTTTGTGAAAAATAAATTGCTATTATACAAAGTGAGTGGAACTCCAAATATTGCGAACACTAAAAAAATGTATAAAGTTACGTGCCTGGAGAATATTCACCTAATTGTATTTCTTTTCATGATTAGAGATGAAAAGTAACGTAATTATCATGTAAGATAATGAATTAAATTATGTGCGTTCTGTGCAAAAATGAGCTGTTTTCCTTCATAATGTCGACGCAAAGAATAAACATTCGAGTTAAATTACTTAAATAATATCTAGAATACACAATTCAGAAAGTCCTAATTGAAACAGGCCAAAAGTAATTGCTAAAAGTTTAATTTACTCAATACATATTAGCCATGTATTCCTAAAATGCTTTATATTAGTTTTTAATTATTAACAAAAATTGTTTAAAAGTTTATTAGAAAATTGCGTTAATTTATATGATAGAAGTTTACAGCTTCAAGCGTTAAAAAAGTTGAATTAATAAAGCAGTAATATAAAAAAAAAATAAGTAAATTCCTACTAAGGTAAACAATGAAAAATTTCATTTTAGTTACTTTTTATTAAATAGTTACAATTAATATAAATATGCATATACGTAGTACAGAATCACGCTATTAAGTAACTAAATAGAAGGCAATTTTAATTTCTATATAGGGTGTTGGTCTACTTCTCTTGTTTGTTACTATTTGATCAATAATCAAATTTAATTATTCTTATAAAATAGTTCTGCAAAAAGAAATCACATTCTCAGAAATTAGGCCATCCCAGGTGGGATTCGAACTCACAGCCTTTAGATTAGGAGTCCAACACACTATCCATTGCGCTACAGGGACACAATGAGCGATTTTCCTTTCTATATGGGGTACTTTCTATAAAAGTACCTTTCCTGTCTGTATAAAAAAATGTGTGCGTGTATCAGTATGAACACGTGGAAGAAGTTAACTTCTTCAGCTTATATGTATTGAATTGTATAATTAAGTTTTATTTTTAAAGTAATCTTATACAGAAATAACAAATTTACTATTATAATTATTATTTAAAAAAATAATTATGATGGAAAAGATATAAGTATGAACAAAATTTTTCTTTTCAATACATAATACTAAAAAAAATATACTGTATACATTTATGGAAAAGTATCATTATTATTAGTTTATTTCCATTATGCTTATGGGTGTTTCAGTGTATACGTTTGTTATCAAAGGCTTGTGGAAACTAATACAAGAAATGTAGGTTTTGAACTCAATATCATTTAAGAATCTAGAAAACATTGCATCCATCGTAGTATTTGATTTAGTTGTCAATATTATTCTGTTATTTTGTAGAGATAAGGCGAAATTGTTTTCTGCGTCTTAATTTTTCCGCTATTTGAGGTAACACTGGAAACTCTCGAGCCCTATTGTCTTAAGGTATTCAACACTACGTTAGGAACCGTGATTTTGCAAAAGTGTATAAATGTTTAACATTTATGATAGGTAGTTTAACTTAGATTAGAAATAGTATATAAAATTGTTTTAAAATATTATTACGATAAAAAATTATTTAAATACAATATTTTTTGACAAAAAATGAACATAGAATGACAAATTTTCAAAACGTTCTCCTTTTATGAAAAATACTTCCTTTATAATAATATTTTACCTGTCTATAGCTCAGACCTCTGTACAGAGGCTCAACTAGGATTTTTGAAATGTATAACTTTGAAGTGGGTTTATTCATGTTTTACGACAACAGAGGGGAGAAATGTTAAGAAAAAAACGTCGATAATTATTTCAATGGGTTGTAACTCTGAAAAAAAATGTGAATTTAAAAAAAATAGTTCAGACTCTCTGGAGAAGTCTTTACTTCATCAAAGCAAAATATTATTATTTTAGAAGCATTTTTTATAAAAGGAGCACTTTTTGAAAAAAGGTTATTCTAAGTTAATTTTTTGCCAAAATGGTGTATTTAAATATTATTTTTTGTCAAAATGTCCTTAAAACAATTTTGCACATGTATTCTAATCAAAGTGACACTAAATATCATGAAAACTATCTATTCATGCGCTTTTTTAAAATCATGGTTTCGAGCTTAGTCGGATACCTTAAATTATCTCAATTTATTTATATTTTTTCATTAGTCAATAGTTCTATATTTCCATAGATTGAATAACATTATTTTAAACCATTACATGTTTTTAGTGTTTATAACATTGAATATGTATTAATTAATTTAATTGAAATTGTTACACAATGCGTCCATTATCATTTTTTAAAGAATACTTGTATGTGTTACAGGTATTAGAATAATGGGAAAAATTCCTTTCAAAATGTAATTATCTATTTACAAGGCGATAGAGACGTTTTGTGGAAAATGTAATAATTTGTAGCATTTTGAGTAATTTAATCCAAAAATTTAACGCTTGATGTAACAAATTAAGAAACCCTGACAAGCATGGAGCTAAATTACATTTATTTTTGAATTTTTTTTCCCTTTTAATGATCGAGTCAGCTGTCGCTGATGAATCGAAAAACATTTCCATTAAACTCAAAAATAATATTTATTTCTGTGGATTAAACATTTAAAAACACGCTCTGGAAAATGAATCTGGAAATTTTTGCCATTTAAGCTAATGGAAAAATCAATGGATATTTATTTTTGCTTTCCTCGTTCTTTTTTTTTTCTTCGTTCTTTTGGAGAGGGGATGGATGGGAAGTGCACGTTCACCCTTTATTCCCCGACAAGGTAAATAAAAGATGACATTAAATGCATCTGGAAGGACTCGATCAAATTTTACGCCATTTTGAACACGTAATAGTATACTCGATCATGGGAATACTGTTATCTTCTTTTTTGGGGATTTCTTTCTTCCCTTGATATATTGTCTAGGACTTATGCATTGTTTATTATGTATTTTCCTTTTTTTTGTATTAAGGTTAAATATCGGACGCAGAAAATATTACAGTGAATCAAATATGTATGATATTTAACGTACATGTAATGGTTTAGAGACGTCGATTTATTGAATGTTGGACACGTTGCAATCCTTATTTCTTAGAAATAACAATATAATCAAACATTTTTTGTCACAGTCAATGGAATAAAACATTAATTTCAACCAAAACAGCTGTTTAAATAAAGTTCTTGCGTGGTTATTTTCATTTCAAAATATAATCATCAAAAATATAATATGCATGCATTAATATATAACACAGGATTTAATCCATCTGTAATGCACACTCAATATATTTAAGTAATACACCTTAGTTTTTAATATTAAAGTAGTTCAATATTATTGTTAAAATATTTGTATATAGTGTAATTACTCAGTAACTTTCATGTCACTGGAATGCTACATTGGTTAAAAAATTACAATGTTTACTTATATTTATATCTCTGTACGTTTTGTTGCATAATAGTAAAGCTCAAGTACTTCAAAAAAAAGTTGTGATTCCAATTTTTTGAGATGGGACTTTTTCAATCAGTAGAAGTAAATTTATTTTTATTCCAGTTTTAAATATATTCTGAATTTAAATTGCTCTTCTTTGTACTTGATAAGAAGTTTTGTAATATCTCAATTTTATAGTACGAAAAAAGTTGAAACTTTAACAAAAACAACAAATTATTATATATGTGTTTGTGTGTGTGTGTGTAGCGTAGTCTAGGCCCCACTTTCTGCGTTGGCTGGTTCCGGCCAATCAAAACGCAGACAGCAGGGTAGCTTTATCTTCAGTGAGTGGACTTCGTCCGCCACTGTTTTCTAGTAGTTCTGTTCTGCCCTTTTTATTTCTCCCTTTAATTTTTCTGTTTTTCTAAATTTATGTCACCCCATTAATTTTGATCTACTTTTAATAATTCTGATGAGGAGGTACGTCCCTCATTTAGGGACAGGAACTCCGTAACTTACATGCCACTTGCTTGCGTAGTCTAGGCCTGTTTATGTTAGTTACTTGTGTGCAGATTAGTCAAAGGTTATTTATGATGTCCTGTATTGGTAGGATTGATGAGGCCGTCCTTTGTGGCTGGCAATCTTGTTTATTAAGCATGGTGAGACACACTAACATTCACATCGTAAATACTAAAATGGGAATAGACGACAATACACATATAACAGAAGCAACAGCGACATTTTACAGGAGGAACAGAAAGACATAAAGGGGAGAACACAAGAAAAATTCGCTTTTTATACAGACAGTTAAGATCACGTGACTTCTTTGTAACAAGAGCTGTGATTGATTAAAACGAGCGGGAAAGAGATTACCGATGTAATATTACTATTTGATTAAGATTAAGGCGTTGGTCTTGAACCTAAGAATTAAAAACTTATTTAAATATTATTATAAAAGAGTCAAATATATATATAAAAGGATTCTAGAGGGAATTATTATATATATACATATATTTATCTATATACATATATATATATATAATCCAATATAAAAAAATTTTTCAATATATCATCATATACATATACATACACATATATATAAATTTATGCATATATATATATATACATATACACAAATATATAAACAAAAATATAAAAATAAACATATAGTTATGTATATAACTATATATATATATATATATATGTTTATACTACTTATATATGTCTATATATAATAAGATAACTAAAAATAGGAAGAAGGCACATAGTATAAAGACAAATTCCTGGCCTTAGGAACCAGGATTGAAAGTTTAAACAAGTTTTGCGGCGCCAACCTTCACCTGTAATTTGTCATACTATGTACCAAGAGGAAAGGAAAGAGTTATATGTGTAGAATTTAAATATTAAAAAATCATTAAACTAAATAACATAGGAACATAAACATAACCTACTAATTCGGAGTTAAAGCGATGGCCAAGAGTGCAGTAACGTGTTCCCGCCAAATAGGGTGAGAGCAGAACCGCATAAAATTAATTGCGATACGATATAAGAAACGATTAATTGCGATATGATATACGATAATAAGAAATATATATATATATATATATATATATATATATATATATATATATATATATATATATATATATATATATACTTTTAAAAAATCATAAAAATAATAATCATATAAAATTAGCGTAAAATATAAAAGTAACTCAAAAAATATATATTAAAAATTTTTTTAAAAAAATAAGCTTTTGGCGCCATCTATTTAATAATTGTAGAATAAATTAGATATTGTCTAAATTTAAAAAAAAACATTACAAAACATAATAACAGTAAATAATTACAGTAATACAAATTGTATCATAAAAAACCATTATAAATATAATTATAATTATCGCTAATCTTAATTTAAAGATAACACTAAGCTTTCATTTATTGGTGTTAATGTATATATATATATATATATATATATATATATATATATATATATATTAACACCAATAAATGAAATCTTAGTGTTATCTTTAAATTAAGAGCAAGATTATAATACTAACGAAAATGCAAGAACAAATAATGTAGGGGTGTGAAACGTACCAAGGTTTCAACACATCAAAGTTATTAAACCTGTCAATTTCATAAAATCCTTTGCATATTCTTTGGAACAGTCTGTTATTAAGTATGAGGAAAAGAAAACTCAATTAAAAATTTAGCGCTTTATCAACACTAAAAATATTAACTGTTACACAGTTAGATAAATGTGTGTCAAATATATTCATTTTTTAAAATTACTTAAGGTAAATACAAATCGTGGTACCATTTGAAATTAAGGGAACTTTTTTAAAAATCCAAAAATTTCCTACGCATTAAATCTAAGAAATCGATTAAGTATTTTCAATTGAAATATTTAATAAATATGATTATTTCAAAATGTAAGAAATAGTAATAAAAAAATCGTTTGCA